CAAGGAAAGAGGGGTCTACAGGATATATGGAAAGATCCCACGGCCCTGTGGTGGATTAAAGGGGAAACAGAGTAGAACGAACAGGTGACAGACAGGGTGAGAGCAGGAGGGCACCACTAGCGATGGTACCAGGGACAGTTGCAGCTGCAGTCACTGGATGGGTGGAAGCTGGTGCCTGCGCCGCAAGAGAGGGAAGGGGTAATAGAGGAGGTGCATAGGAAGCTGGGCCACTTCGGGCATGAGCGCACAACTCAGCTGCTCAAGACCGGCTGGTGGTGGGAAGGGATGAGGAAGCAAGTCAGAGAGTGGGTCAGTGGTTGTGAAGGCTGCCAGAGAAGCAAGGCCAGCTTGACCCAGGCGAAGCAGGAGCTGCAATCACTGCCGATCAGAGGGTTGGGGTTTCGGTGGTCTCTCGACATAGCCGGCGAGCTGCCGCTGAGCAGGGGAGGACAGCAGTACATCCTACTCATGGTGGAGCATGCAAGCAAGTGGTTAGAAGTGTGTGCGTTGCCGAGCAAGGATTCCAGACATGTGGCGAAGGCATTCAAGGGACAGGTGCTGTGCAGATTTGGGGCACCAGGGGAGGTACTCACCGATCAGGGCACGGAATTCAAGGGGGAGTTCCAGGCGCTGCTCGACGAGGCAAGGGTGACACACAGGCAGACATCAAGGTACCATCCTCAGAGTGATGGGCTGACCGAGCGGCTGGTGCAGACCTTGAAGCGGAACCTGAGGGCGTACGGAGAGAAGCGGAAGAGGGACTGGGATGAAGAACTAGACTGGGTGGCGGCAGGGTATAGGTTCGGGAAGCAGGCGTCACTAAAGGACTACTCCCCGTACAGCCTGCTGTATGGAAGGGAACCAATACTGCCTGTGGGAGCACCAAGGGTACGGACGGGGGTGGTGAGCGTGAAGGGAGCAGAACAGTGGGTGGCGCTGGCAGAAGCACGAGCAAGATACATGCGGGAAATGCTCCCGGCTGCCTTGGAGAACTTGCACACGGCGCAGCTGAGAGATGCCCACAGATACGAGCAGCGGCAGCAGCAAGGAGGCAAGAAAGTGAAGCCAGCAGTGACAGAGGGACAGGAAGTCTACCTGCGCAGAGCGAAGAAAGACACGCTGGACGTGGGGTTGGGAACAGAGAGGTGGAAGGTTAAAGAGGTGAGAGGGTCAGGGGTGCTGGTTCTGGAAAATGAGAGAGGAGAGCGGACAGTGGATCACCAGACGAACACAGCGGCAGTGAAGGAGAGATGGCCTCAGCAAGAGGGTCCTGTGACACGTGCATGGGCAGCCCAAGCACGAGCACAGGAGGGGGCAGGGAGTGGCTGAGGAAGGGATGACTGTGCAAGGAGAGAAGGAGGAAAAGGGGACTGAGCGCAATGAGGCAGGAACAAGGGGAGCGAGCAGAGTAATGCAGGAACAGGGCGAGGGTGAAAGGCAGTAAGGGAAGAGACTCTGACAGCTGTTACTGAATATCATGGTAAGAGCATTATATTCTGTAACTGTGCTAAATGGGGTGTAGAAGCAGTGTAGTAATTGTCATTCAGTTTGTACACTAGGTAGTTGGGACATTGGGAGAAGCGCGAAGTTGGTAGTATGGGGGATTGCAAGGCGCTGCGGGCACAATTCCAGGGCCCTCGAGAGACAGGAAATCTGGCACGAGGCCAATACAAGGCCAAGGCGGCTCGAGCCCAACCCATCACGCTGAAAATCTCGCGACTGGGTGGCCTAGCATAAGTAAGCCTAGCCTAGCATAGTACTCTTGTTCTCTCGTTTGTTTACCAGTGCATAGTGGACTTATGTTACCGCTCTAAGCTACTGCAGCCAGGTGACAGACGCCACTCTTGGTAGCCAGCTGTGGGAGCCGAATCTCTCGAGTGGCTGAGGAAGGGATGACTGTGCAAGGAGGGAAGGAGGAAAAGGGGACTGAGCGCAATGAGGCAGGAACAAGGGGAGCGAGCAGAGTAATGCAGGAACAGGGCGAGGGTGAAAGGCAGTAAGGGAAGGGACTCCGACATGGGCTGAAAGCGGCCGATTCAATGTGCACCATGAAGCCTGCGTCGCACGCCATCCACGCGCATTCGTCTCTGAGTTCATTGTGTGTGTTCGTGCGCCCCCCCCCCTGTCCCACATCGTAGCAGGTGGTTTGGGAGCCGCTTGTCTGGGATTTCCACCTTCTTCGAGCAATTGCAGACCCCGGGAGCCGCAAAGGGGAGCCCCAGCCGGAACTGGAGCGCGTTGGCGTAGTGCGGAGCCTCGAGGTGTAGCGCGCGGTGCAGTGGCACCGCATTTAACCAATCCCCTGCCCCGTACCCCGACAGGGACATCATCCGCTGCGTGTGACCATTGTTCGGGTTCGGGTTCATCCCCCTCGCCTCCTCCACTAGGACAGCATAGCGCTGGCCTTGGATAGCCGTGGCCAGGCCGTGCTGTAGCTTCCCTGCGGTTGGGGCTGTTCTCTCTGCTTGCAAGGCTTCCTGATCTGGCAGGGGGAGCTCCTCCTCGCATTTCGCGAGCCATTCGGTCAAGGGGGAGGCCTGGGTGTAGGGACCGCGCATCAGCTCTCGAGTGGCTTCCAGTGGGCCGGTGCATTCGTCCTCAAGGGCGTCCAGTAGGAGATGAGCCTGCGTGTAGCTGGCGAGGAAGCTGTAGCTTCCCTCCACGGACGGGTCTGTCAGTCCGAGCCCCCCAAGCGAAACGGGGAGGGAGGCCTGCGCCCATGTGCGTGAAATTTCCTCCTCCCCCCTTGGGTGGTTTATGCCGCATGCCGTGAGCAGGGTATCCAGCAGTCGCCTCCCCCATTCGGACCACTCCACCTGGGGCAAGGACGGAAGGGGAGTCGTGCGGGCCAAATAGGACACTCGGCGCGAGACGCACCGAGACAGCAGCAGTCCCGCCAGCTGAGGCTCCATACGTTCTATCAAACCCAGCGGCGCTCCCATCCCTTCTAGGCTGGAACGTATGAAAGCGGATGTGGCTGTTGGGGTGCCGATGTAACTGCCCAGCACTTTCAACCCGTCGCTGCTGAGTGACACCCCCTCGGGCAGGGTGTGGTCCGCCGGCGATCTATTGGACCAGGCCCCACACTTGGCGGGGTTGTGTTTGAGCCCTATGTCCGCCAGGAGGCTGGTGAAATGATCAAAGGCGGCCGCACATGACGACGGGTCCCCTAAGAAGGTAACATCGTCCGCGTAAGCAAGGCAGATGACTTCCGGATGCGCCTCCGTAGCCGCCTTCAGGGCTGGTTGCATGGCCGCGGCAAAAAGAAGGGGGCCGAGGGGGGTCCCCTTGGCGGACTCCGGTCTCGCTGAGCAAGGGCGCGTGGTCAAAAGCTGCGTCCAGATGAAGTGCAGACGGCTGGCCGTAAGAGAAGATCACCAAAGGCAGTAGAGGCTCCAGCTGCGAGCCTTTCAGCGCTGTTGCTATGGCGAGGCGATCGACGCTGTTGAAGGCGTTAGCTAGATCCGCCTGCAGGACTAGCGCCTCCGGATTGGCCGAGGTGAAAGTTCTAACAATGTGGATCAATGCTTCTGCTCCTCCCGGCACGGCAACTCCAAACTGTGATGGTAAGAAAAATTCTCTAGCTGCTTCTGCCAGCTGAGTAAGTGCTGCTTTGGCTGCCAGCCGTAGGAGGCATTCACCTATAGCTATTGGTCTAGTCCCTCCGTCTGGCTTGTCGAGGGCTATCAAACGTGATGCGGTAAGAAGCCCCCCAACCTCCGACCGCAGCTTCCCGCGAAGGATCGTGTTGACAAGCGCATGTAAGTGAGAGCTGACCGCCGTGTGCATCAGTGCGGCTTCGCGCAGGTGTTTGAACGTCGTGCCTGAGGGGCCTGCACCAACCCCATTTTCACATTTTGAGAGAAGCTTCAAGAAGACTTCTCGCGACACTGCCAGGTAAGTGTCCGGCTCAGGCTGGGGCCACGGTGTGTCAGGGTGCCGGGCCCGGGGGTGTTTGGCGCGTAGAGATTCCAGAACTTCTGGGGTCGGCTTGCTGACTGGCGTCGCTTCAAGTGCCATGACAGCCCTTCGCAGACTGCCACGTCGCGCCAGACCTTCTGCCTTGGAGATAACCCCCAGGTCATCGGGTTGGTGTCTGGGGGGTGGCGGCAGCTCCAGCGAATCCACCGTCTCCAAGTAAAGTGATTCCCACTCCCCTCGCAGGAACTTACGCAGTCTGCTTCTGGTCGCCTTCCAATCGGGGTGCTTAGGCGACTGCTGACGCAATGTCAGGCGAGCGGCAAACAGCAAAACCGTCCAGGCTTGGGTGCAATCAGGGTCGTCGGCGAGTCGCAGCAGTGGTGTCAGTAAGACCATTGCGAAAAGCAGGCGCAGCTTTTCCGGAAGGCGACGTGCTAGAGGTTCGTTGCGACTGTCGCGTAGATTGTCCAGATTCCAGTTACTGACGCTTGCGAAAAGCGTGTCATCCTTGGCGAGGGCTTCGGGCGATTTTTGGGGGAGGGGTTGTGACTGCTGTTGGTTACCCCTTGCTGCAGTTCGTGGGGTAATCGCAGGTGTTGGTGGCAGGATTTGTTGGGCGGGCTGGTTGGCAGTGGTGTCAGGGTGGTTGGGAGCGGTACGAATCTGTGGGGATGGTCGCGGCTGGGTGGGAGCGTGAATGGAATTTGTTGCCGCGCTTCGGGCGTGGGTTGGGTTGCCTCTCTGCTGTGCAGGAGTCTGTGATTGGGCCTCCTCTGAGGCGTTCGAACTTGAGTCTGCATCCTCCTCCTCCGCCTCATAAATACTCCCCGACAAAGCATCTGCCTCATTAGCTCTTACAAACTCTGTTAAAGCCCTACGCGCCGCTGCCTGGAACGCGTTCTCCGGACCGCCTTCGCGTATACTCCTTCCACGCCCTCGGCCTCCGGCACGGCCTCCGGCACGGCCTCCGCGCGTCCGCGCATTTGCCGCCGCTGGCAGCGGATTCCCTCGACTCGCTCCTCCTGGGTTCTGGCGCGACCTTACGTCCTCGATCGCCTGCTGCCGACGCGTTCGCCGTAATGGCGACTGAAGCGGAGAAGTCGGCGGTGGACCAAGGTCACACCGCTGAGAGTGCGATTGCCCTGCCTCCGGCCCCTGTCGCCACTGTTGCCATTGCTGCTGCTCCCCTGCTCTCCCTGGCTCCACCTGCTGTTGTTGCGACATCCGCGGTTCCGCTCCCCCTGTCGCCGGCTCCCCCGCCAAACCTTCCGCACGCTGGATTCGTGTCCGGCGCGCCGGTTCCCGTTGCGCAGCCGTCACATGTGGCGCAGCCGCCCGCCCAAGTTGTCGCTGGGGGCCCTGCGTTGGGGACAGCGGTGGGCGCCGGCCCCGATTCAGCCCACTTAGTTGCCCCATCGGCTGCGCCGTTGAAACCCGTCGCGCAGCGGCTCACGGAGTCCCAAATACACCTTGCCGCAGGGGGCAATGCGGCAGCGCATTGGGGGCGAGGTTCTCCTCGGCGTCGCCCCTCCTCGTCATATCGTTCGGCTCACCGCGGAGGTCGTGGTGGCTGGTGGGGAGGTCACGGTCACAGGCACGGTGGACCAAGCGAGATGCAGCAGCTGCGCGAGGATTTCCCGGGGATGCTCGTTGGGGCGATGCGCAACGCTCTGAATGGCGCACCGAATCTTGGTAGCTCCCCGGCTCCCGCCGCTCCTGCGCCCGCGCCCGCTCCTGTGAATGTGTAGGATCCGGCCGGGCCCCTTGATGCGCCTGCTCCGCATGCATCTGCGTACCCGCGGGCTCCACCTCCTGGCAGTGACCGTGCTCCGCCTGCCTACGTTCGTCCTGTGTCCGCCTCGCAGTATCCGCCCCTGCCCTGGATTCCCCCTCTTCCGGACACGGGATTTGTGGGAGCGGGAGGCGGAGGGGCGAGGGGAGCCTTCGTTCCTCCGCGTCGTTTTGCTGAAGCTCCGTGCGTGCAGCCGCCGCCCCCTCTTCCCATTCCGAGTGCCGCGTTGAGGACGGGAATGGCTCAAGTTCCCACGGCGACCCTCGCGCAGCTGTGGCGCTTGGTGGAGTGCCAGCAGGCCCTGACACTGATTCTGGTGAATGCGCACTTCGCCATTCTCCAGAGCCCAGGGAGCACTCTCGGTCGTGAGGCGCGAGGAGATTGCTTGGCGGCGGCTGCGCAACATGCCTTCCTCCTCCTACCCTTGCTGGGAGCGCACGCGATGGGAGGCGTTGCGGTTTCAGAGCTGGACGGAGCGGTCCAGGGTCTGACCGCACACCTCCAGGCTGGTGGCGGGTTGAAGCTGTAGGCGCGACCGCGTTAGTGGTCCAGCAACTGTGGAGGACCATGCACGGTAGCGCTGGAGGCCCATCTGATGTAGTTTCCGGCCCCCTCCGCGCGTAGACCCTTTGCATCTCGTGGTCTATAAGTTGGGCACGTGGCCCATTGCTCTCTTGTGTTGTTCGGTTATTTTTGTCTTGGTGCTAAAACTTGCCTCCCCAAAGCCCTCTTCCTCTTCCCTCGGCGAGAGAGAGAGAGAGAGAGAGAGAGAGAGAGAGAGAGAGAGAGAGAGAGAGAGAGAGAGAGAGAGAGAGAGAGAGAGAGAGGACTTAGCACCCAGCCCTCTTCTTCTTCCCTCGGCCCTCTTCCTCTGAGCCTATTTTATGGGCCCTTGGTGCCTTCTTCTCCTCATTATTTCGTGTGTTCTCAGTTTTCTGCGGCTGGAGAGAGCGAGAGAGAGAGAGGACTTAGCACCCAGCCCTCTTCCTCTTCCCTCGGCCCTCTTCCTCTGAGCCTATTTAAGGGCTTTTGGTGCCTTCTTCTCCTCATTATTTCGTGTGTTCTCAGTTTTCCGCGGCTCGCGCCGGCAGCCTTCGGCCGCGCGTTTCTGGTGGCAAGACACAAAACGGAGGATCGGCTTATATAGGGCACACACACACACAAAGGCAAGGAGCTGGGCAGGAGCAAGAGGCGCGGCATGCAATTCTACACACGGCGGAGGCCTACATCGTGTACGGCTCCGCCCCCTCCACCTCAAGCATCGAGCGCATGCACGCCGACAACGCAAGAAGGAGATGCGCCGACGACTGGAGCGTGTCCAAGGGGGTCCCGGCTTGAGCAGCCCCTACAAGATCCCCCACGTGGCGGGGGAAAGTACGGGCTAAGGGAGCTACCCCGGCGGGTGCGTCCGACACGGGTGCCAACGGCGACTCGAGTGATTCTGCCAAAGTCACGCAGGATCCTCGGGTCCCTGGACCAAAACTGCTCGGAAAGCTCCTCGTGGCCCCACACACCGCCAGCTGCAAGTTCGCCACCACCTCGCACGCCTCCGCCAGATTCAGAACCCGGCACATGGTCAGCATGGGGTCTCTCCCCGCGCGAGTGGGGAGAGGTGCAGTCTGCGCTTCGCGCGGAAACGCCGCCGGCCAGCCAGGAGTCCGGCCAACAGCCAAGCGCGGCGCAGAGAAGCCGGGAACCTGACGGAGGGTGCGGAACTAAGCCCTCCCCTCACGCGCGGGCTGATACTCGCGCAGCGTCGGCGCACGCAGAGGAGCGACCTGGCCTGGGTCTGCGGCGAAGGGGGGACCGTTGGTCACCTCAATATGGACGTGAGTCGGCGCCCCACTCGCCCGGGCCTGCCTCACCACCTCCACGAACGTGTCCGCAGCATGATCGAGGGCTGGATCAGGCTGGTTGCCATTCCCGCCTCGCCCTCCGCCCTTCCGCCAGCCCCGCCGTCCCCCGGAAGCAGCCGAATGTGGACGCGGGGGGGACTGCTCGCGGCGACCCGAATCCCAGCGACGACCAGGCGACCCCCTCCCCCGCGTCGCCGGAGATCGCCGAGGAGAACGTTGCGCGGGGGATCGCGCTCGCGGTGAGCGCTGGCCTACCTGACCACGAGGGGATGGGCGGCGAGGGGAGCGAGGACGTGCAGGAGAACGCTTACCCCCCTCCCCGCGCTGATAGTGCTCGCGACGCTCAGGAGAAGGGCGGCGAGGAGAGGGTGGCTGTTGAGGGTGCCGCAGAGGCGAGCACCCGCGCTCCTGCCGCGGCTGACCGTCCGGGCGGTTCGACGCAACACGAGCAGGCGCCCACAAATACTCCGGCGAGGCGGGGCGCGCGGCAGGACGATGGGGAAGCGTTTGAACCCGCTCGAAGTGGTGCACGGGCTCGCTCGCGGAGGGGTGCGCAGGGAGACGCGGACGAGGCCCGGCAGGCGCAGGCTGCGGTAGCGAGCTCTCCGCGGAACCCTCCAGCTCCGGATCCCGTCTCACGGATGGGTCCATCACCCCCGATCTTACCGCAGCCGACGCCAGTGCGGCGACGAAGCGAAAACGAGACGGCCGCGGCGCCGCAGACAGGGCGCGAGGGAGCTGCTGTGGGACGAGCAACGCGGGGAATCCGCGTAGGACGCGGCAGCCGCCGCGGACGACGAGGCAACGAGAGAGGACGAAGAGGTGGTGGAGCACGAGATTCAAACAGGCGCCGATCTGGTGCAAGCGGCTACGCGAGGAATGTGGAAAGGCTGATGCGAAACGGCGCGGAGGGCGATGTGGAACCACTTAGCGAGGAAGCAGAGGAGGAAGCGGAGAATGAGGAAAGTGAAGAGGGGGACCCTGCCTTTAACCCTGAAAGCGAGGGGATGTTAGAAGCAGAGGCCGAGGAGGACGAGGAAGAGTTGGAGCTGCTGCGGGAAGCGGAGCTCCCAAACCAGCAGGCCAGAGGTGAACCTGCAAACCGAACCTCAGTTCGGAATCGAACCGCAAGGGGAATTCAAGCAAGGAGGGGAAATCGAGCCGCTCCAGAAGAAAGAATTGACTCTGCAACAGCCAATGAAAATTCGCTCAGGTTGCAGTCTGGGACCTCGACCCGCTGCGTGACAGTCGCCAACCTCCTCTCGCTCGCCACCCCCCCAAAGACCTTCGCGACTCCTTCGCGATCTGTATGTTGACGCCGTTACTCCACCTGGCGGCCAATCCCGAGTCTGCGCCAGGATGGAAACTACTGACCTTTCTCCCGCGCATACTCCTTCGCACCTCGTCAGCCCGTAAACCTGACTGGAGCGCGATGATGAATCGGCTCCTGCGATTTCGCCAAGGGCTCTGGGCGGACCTATACGAAGAAGCTGTCCAGGCGATTTCCTTGCCTCCGCAGCCTCGCCACTCACTCGACACAACTGGAATACTGGCACGGGCGGAAGGTCTGGCAAAACGGGGTAACCTGTCAAAATCACTCCAATCCCTCCAGGCCACCCCTGTGTCACCTGCCTCACCTGAAGTGCTGGAAGCCCTCGCGACGAGACATCCACCTGCCAGCCAGCTTCTCCCTGACTGGCTCCACACCGCCTCGGCTGAAGACCCACCCACTATCGAAGCCCGCGACTTCAGGCGCCTCCTCGCCAAGCTCCCCAACGGAGTCGGGGCCGGCCCCTCAGGAACCACTTTCGAGCATATCCGCGACGCAGCCCTAGGGAATGCCGAAGTACTCTCCCACCTCCTCGCCCTCTCCAACACAGCTCTAGCAGGGAAACTCCCAACAGCCGCGGGGGATCTTCTCACGGCCTCCCGCCTGCTAGCCTTTACGAAACCCCAAGGAGGGACGCGGCCAATAGCGGTGGGGGAGTGTCTCCTCCGGATTATAGCAAAGGCCGCCCTCTTCCTGACCGCGCCAGCCGCCCGTACTCACCTTGCCCCCCTTCAATTCGGCGTGGCAGTAGCAGGGGGGATCGAAGCGGCTATCCACACCGCTCGCACGTACCTGGAAGTGCACCCTGCTGCAGTGGCCTTGCAGATCGACCTCGCGAACGCTTTTAACGCGGTCGAAAGGAGAGCGGTGTTCGAAGGACTGAGAAACGAGGCGCTGAAGAAGCTGATCCCCCTCGTCCGCCTATCCTACGGGGCTCCCTCCTCGCTCTACCTCGACCACGACTTCGGCGCAGCCCCGCTGCAGAGCGCCAGAGGAGTTCGCCAAGGGGACCCGCTCGGCCCCCTCCTGTTCGCGGCAAGCATCCACCCGTGCCTCATTGCCACGGCGGCGGCACACCCTCAGGTGGTCCTGCTGGCGTACGCCGATGACATCACGCTGCTCGGCGACGCCTCGGCCTGCACAGCAGCTTTCGACCACCTCACATCCGCACTTGCCGCCCTCGGCCTGGTACACAACTCGGCCAAATGCGCGGCGTGGTCCGCCGCTCCAATCGACCCCTCTGCAGTGCCTCCGGGAATTACTATCTCTGATGAGGGACTGCAGATTCTCGGCAGCCCGGTTGGCACACCCCGGGGGTGCGCGGGCGCCGTGAGAGAGAGACTGGCAGTAGCAGCATCCCCACTCCCCCTGCTGGCCCAGATGGACCCCCAGCTTAGCCTCCTCCTCCTCACCCGCTGTGTCAGCCGCCGAGCCTCTTTTCTGGCCAGAACCACCCCCCTGGAAGCTCTCCCTGAAGCGGAATGGTCAGCTTGGGGGGAGCAGCTCCTACACACCTTCCTGGACTCGGCCCACATCATGAGACCGAGGAGTGCCCGGGAGAGGCGGAGGATTTGGCGGCAGGCGGCCCTGCCCGTGACTCTGGGAGGCCTGGGCATCACTGACCCCGCCGTTGAAGGCAGCTACGCTTACCTCGCTTCAGTGATCAGCGCCGCCCACCTTCTATACTCCCTGGAGGAGTCGTTACACCCTGCTGTCGCCGCGATCCTCCCCCTACTGGACCCTACCCACGGCTCCCCGCACGCGCTGCCTGCACGCCTCGCCGCGGCTGAGGCAGCTCTCCCACCCGAGGCTCTCGAGGTGCTCCAGGCCGGGAAGACAGACCCCAAGGGACTGAAGCTACAGCAGAGCCTAGCGCTGGCGGTTCACTCCCGCCGCTTCTTGAGGGCCATGCGCGAGGCAAGGCGGATGCGCCCCAACCCCCTTTCAGGCCATGCGCAACGGATGCAGTCGGTGCTAGGCCCAGGAGCGGGGGATTGGCTGCTGGCGATCCCGCTCATCCCCTCGCTCCGAATGGGCCCCTCCCAGCTCTCAACTGCAGCGGCCTTCCGCCTAGGCCTCCCCCTCCCAGTGCCTAGACGCTGTGACTGCCGCTACCGCACCACCTTCCCCGACGACCGCCTCCCCAACCACCTCATGCGCTGCGAGAAGGGGAAAGGGAGGACCGCTACCCATCACGCTCTGCGGGATGAGATAGCAAATATCGGGGCTGAGGCGGGTTTTACGGTTCATAAGGAGACGTATGTCTACTCACTGGTTGAAAACCTAAAGGCGGATGTCACCATCCGTCATCCACTGACCGGGGAGGTTTGGATGTGCGACGTGACCGTGACGGACCCGATGTCATACCAGGACGAGAACTGCAACCGAGCTCCTGGTTGGGCAGCTAGGGTGGCAGCGGCAAAAAAGGAGGAGAAGTACGCACGGCGGAACACGTGGGTGGGGTTCCACGCGCTCGCAGTGGAAACATACGGCTACCCCTCGCCGGGGGTGCTGGCTTACCTGCGGCAATGCGCGGAGCTGGCGGCAAAGCTGCGGTTTAACGCAGCCCCTACCTCCTACGAAGCAGCGAAGCTTCTGACGGAGTACCGCCAGCGTTGGAGCGTGTGCCTCCAGCGGGCACAGGCCAACGCCCTCCGCACCAAGACCAATGAGGCCTTGGCGGCGGACGAGCTCGGTTTTAGAGGACCCATCATCCCTCTCAGTGAGGGACAGCTGCACCAGTTGATTGAGGCCTCGTTCGACCAGTAGGGTCGGACAGGGGGGGGGGCAGTGTAGGTAGGGGACTTGGAATAGTTAGGATGCCGGTTTTCTGTTGAGCTTGTGCTTGTGTGTTTTGCACCTTCCGTTGTACCACCCCCCAAAGAAATGCAAGGACCATTTGAGAGAGAGAGAGAGAGAGAGAGAGAGAGAGAGAGAGAGAGAGAGAGAGAGAGAGAGAGAGAGAGAGAGAGAGAGAGTGAGCACCCAGCCCTCTTCCTCTTCCCTCGGCCCTCTTCCTCTGAGCCTATTTAAGGGCCCTTGGTGCCTTCTTCTCCTCATTATTTCGTGTGTTCTTCAGTTTTCCGCGGCTCGCGCCGGAGAGAGAGAGAGAGAGAGAGAGAGAGAGAGAGAGAGAGAGAGAGAGAGAGAGAGAGAGAGAGAGAGAGAGAGAGAGAGAGAGAGAGAGAGAGAGAGAGTGAGCACCCAGCCCTCTTCCTCTTCCCTCGGCCCTCTTCCTCTGAGCCTATTTAAGGGCCCTTGGTGCCTTCTTCTCCTCATTATTTCGTGTGTTCTTCAGTTTTCCGCGGCTCGCGCCGGAGAGAGAGAGAGAGAGAGAGAGAGAGAGAGAGAGAGAGAGAGAGAGAGAGAGAGAGAGAGAGAGAGAGAGAGAGAGAGAGAGAGAGAGAGAGAGAGAAGGCCTTAGCACCCAGCCCTCTTCCTCTTCCCTCGGCCCTCTTCCTCTGAGCCTATTTAAGGGCCCTTGGTGCCTTCTTCTCCTCATTATTTCGTGTGTTCTCAGTTTTCCGAATCAAGCAACTGGAGAGCATCACCTTACGATCAAGATGCAATACTACACGAGACGCCGCTCTACTGCGTGTACAGGCCAGCCCCCTCCGCCTCAAGCATCGCGAGAAGACACCCCGCCATCGAGTGGAGAAGCTCCGCCGAGAAGCGAAGAGTGTCAACAGGGGTCCTGTGCTGAGCCGCAGCGTGAAGATCAAGAGAGAGGCGGGGGAAGGTACGGGCTAAGGGTGCTACCCCGGCGGGCGCATCCGACACGGTCGATAAAAGGGGGACAATCTCTCCTGCCCAAGCGACGCACTGTCCTTGGGGCCCTTGAGCAAAATTGCTCGGTGTGTGACGCATGGCCTCACACGCCGCCAGCTGCAGGCTCGCCAGCCCCTCAGCCGCCCCCGCCAAATTCCACATCCGGCACATGCTCAGCGTGGGATCTCTCCCCGCGCGGATGGGGAGAGGCGCAGTCGGAACTCCGCGCGGCAGAAACATCGCCACCTGGCCCGGAGTCTGGCCAACCGTATTCTGAGGAGCAGGGTAACCTGGGGCTTGGCGGCGTCCGCGGAACGGCCCCCTCGACGCTGCAGCTGGCAGATACTCCCGCAAGGTCGGAGCGTGCAGCGGAGCGGCTTCAACCGCAACAGGTGCGGTGGGGAGCTCAGTGGTCACAGACACGTGAACGTGAGCCGCTGCTCCCGACGCTTCCACCTCCCGAACTGCATCCGCCACCATATTCCCCGCGCGGTCAGCAGTGGAACCCTAGCCACGACTACCCCCGCCGCGCGCATAACCATTCCGCCGCCCACGACGCCCTCCAGACCCAGCCGACTGAGGACGGGGCGGGGACTGCTCACGGCGGCGAGAATCCCAACGGCCCGCATGAGCCCCGCGGCCCCGACGCGGAGGCGACGGCCGCGGCGTCCGCTGCGGAGGGGACCGCTCCCGCGGGGAGCGCTTCTCCGGCGACCTCTCAGGAGAGCGGTAGCGGCGGTCGCGATGCTGAATTTCCCGCTGATATTCGTCCCATCGTCGCCGAGAGTCATGCGGCTCGGAGGCGCGACGCGCAGGGGACGCGGGTCGATATCCACGACGCTACGGGGACCGGCCCCGCTCCTGACGCGCCGGCAAGGCATTCGACGCGACGACTAGGGGAGCACGGGATTGCTCAGGAGACGCGTGACGATCCGCCCCGCGCAGCGGAAGAGACAACCCGCGCTCAAGACGGCGCACGGGCGCCGACGCAGCAGGACGAGCCTGCACTTGGGAACACGGAGGCGCAGGCTCGAGGTTTGGCTGCGCAACAAGCTGAGCGCTCCCCGCGGTTGCTTCCAAGGCGCGGTCGCGACCCACGGACCCCGCCATCACGACCGAGGCGTGAGCCGAGGACGCCAGAGCCCCGTTTGGCAGGGGAGGAGATCGGCGAAAACCGCACGCCTGTAAGGCACAGCCCAATCGCGAGGAGTGGCACACCTGGCGGACGACGCGTAGGCAGGAGAGGACGCCGAGGAAGAGGAGCTGGGAGGAGAGGAGGCCAACGTACAGGCGCGAGCGGCTATGCGAGGACAGCAGAACGACTACTCCAGGAAGGCGCGGAAGGCGGCGAGGAAGCCGCTAGCAGGAGGGAGAGTGGTGAATCGGAGAATGACGAGAGTGACGAGGGTGACCCAGGTTTTAACCCCGAAACGGAGGGAGGTTTGGATGCTGAAGCTGATGAAGATGATGAGGAGCTCTTGGTTCGTGGGGCTGAGTTCCCGGACCAACAAATTGGAGCCGCGTCTGCAACACGAACCCCAGCCAGGAATCGAAATGTGGGGGGAAATCAGGCCTGGAGGGGAAATCGGACCGCGGCAGAAATCACATTTGACTCTGCCGCAACCAATAGGAACACCCCAACCCCAACCCCAACCCCAACCCCACCAATGATCCACCCAGGCGACTTGGCGAAACGACTGGACCTTTTCGCGCAAGTCGCAGGCTGGGACCTGGACCCACTGCGCGACAGTCGCCAGCCCCCCCTCGCCCGTCACCCGCCCAAAGACCTTCGCGAATCATTCGCAGTCTGCCTACTCACCCCACTCCTCCACCTGGCAGCCAATCCCAACTCGACCGCGGGGTGGAGGTTACTGACTTTCCTCCCGCGAATCCTCCTACGCACCTCGTCAGCTCGCAAACCAGACTAGAACGCGATGATGAATCGCCTCCTCCGTTTCCGCCAGGGACTCTGGTCTGGCCTGTACGACGAGGCAGTTGAAGCAATTTCCCTCCCAGCCCAGCCACGTCACGTACCTGACACTCAGGGCATCCTTGCCAGAGCGGAGGGACTGGCCAAGCGTGGTAACCTGGCCAAGTCACTACAGTCCCTCCAAGCCACTCCGGTCTCACCTGCCTCCCCCAAAGTGTACGCGGCGTTAGCAGCACGACACCCGCAAGCACTCCAGCCCTTACCAGAATGGATACGCACCTTCTCCCCCAAGAAAACCCCTTCGATAGAGCCGCGCGACTTCAGGCGCATCGTAGCCAAACTCCCAAACGGGGTGGGAGCAGGGCCCTCAGGCACAACCTTCGAGCACATACGCGATGCTGCACTCGGAAATCCAGACATCTTCGCCCATCTTCTCGCACTTACCAATACAGCTATAGCCGGGAAACTCAGCGGTGAGGCCACCGAGCTCCTCACAGCCTCACGGCTCTTGGCCTTCACAAAACCGCAGGGGGGGACCCGACCGATAGCCGTGGGCGAATGCCTTCTTCGCATGGTGGCCAAGGCAGCACTGTTCCTGACTGGGGCGGCGGCACAATCACACTTCGCGCCTCTACAGTTCGGGGTAGTAGTGGCTGGAGGGATTGAGGCGGCCATTCACACTGCGCGCACATACCTGGAGGAGAACCCGGGCTCGGTGGCGCTGCAGATTGACCTCGCCAACGCGTTTAACGCGGTGGAAAGGGCGGCGGTATTCGAGGGGCTCAAGAACGAGTCCCTTGAAAGCCTTCTGCCCCTTGTACGCCTCTCCTACGGAACTCCCTCAGCACTCCACCTCGACCATGACTTCGGCGTGGCTCCACTGCTAAGTGCTAGAGGCGTCCGCCAGGGGGACCCTCTTGGCCCCTTGCTCTTTGCGGCAAGCATCCACCCACACCTTACCGCAACGGCACTAGCTCACCCAAGGGTCGTCATTCTCGCCTATGCAGACGACATAACGCTGCTAGGCAAAGCAGAAGCGTGCACGGCGGCATTTACACACCTCACTGCCGCACTGATCCACATAGGCCTCGAGCACAACCTTGGGAAGTGTGAGGCTTGGTCTGCAACCGCCATAGACCCCGCCTCTCTCCCTCCGAGCTTCCCCATTGCAGCAGACGGACTGCGGATATTAGGAAGCCCAATCGGGACCTCTGATGGCTGTGCCGCCAGAGTAAGGGAAAGGCTTGCAGCAGCAGCAGAACCCTTGCCGCTCCTGGCCCAAATGGACCCCCAATTGTGCCTGCTGCTACTCACCCGCTGCGTGGGCCGGCGAGCATCCTTCCTGGCCAGAACCACTCCGCTAGAGGCACTACCTGAGGATGAATGGGCGGCATGGGGGGAGCAACTGCTGCATACCTTCCTGGACGCGGCCCATATCATGCTGCCAAGGAGTGACGCGGAACAGAGGAGAATCTGGAGGCAAGCGGCGCTGCCCGTAACATTGGGGGGGCTTGGCATTACAAATCCTGCAGTTGAAGGGAGCTATGCGTACCTTGCGTCGGTGGTGGGCACCTCCCACTTACTGCACTCCCTGGCCGAGGCACTCCACCCAAATGTAGCACCCCTCCTCCCCCTAATGGACCCCACCTCCGGCTCCGCGCACGCCCTGCCTGCACGCCTTGCAGCAGCGGAAGCAGCCCTCCCCCCCGAGGCTCTAGAAGCTCTCCAGGCCGGGAAAGCAGACCCACAAGGCCTCAAGCTGCAACAGTCTCTAGCGTTGGCGGTTCAGACACGCCGCTTCCTGAGGGTCATTAACGAGGCAAGGCGGATGCGCCCCAACCCCCTCTCTGGCCATGCCCAGAGAATGCAGTCGGTGCTCGGCCCTGGTGCGGGAGATTGGCTGCTGGCACTACCCATCATACCCTCGCTTAGGATGGGACCCTCCCAGCTCTCCTCCGCTGCTGCGTTCCGCCTGGGCCTCCCCCTACCTGTCCCCAGGCGCTGCGACTGTCGCTACCGCACCAAATTCCCTGATGACCGCCTCCCAAACCATCTCATGCGCTGCGAGAAAGGGGGGGGAAGGATTGCGACTCACCATGCGCTTAGGGACGAGATTGCTTTGATTGCGGCAGAGGCGGGATTCACGGTGCACAAAGAAACCTATGTATACTTTCTCGTTGAAAACCTGAAGGCGGACGTCGCAATCCGCCATCCCCGGACGGGAGAGGTTTGGATGTGGGACGTGGCAGTGACGGACCCCGTTTCTCACCAAGATGAGAAATGCAATAGAGCACCGGGGTGGGCGGCTAGGGCAGCTGCGGACAAGAAGGAGCAGAAATACGCGCGCCGGAATGCGTGGGTGGGCTTTCATGCCCTAGCGGTAGAGACATATGGGTACCCCTCGCCCGGGGTGTTGGCATTCTTGCGGCAGTGCGCGGAGCTGGCGGCCAAGTTGCGATTCAACGCAGCCCCCAACTCCTACGAGGCCGCCAAGCTGCTGACGGAATACCGCCAGCGCTGGAGCGTGTGCCTCCAAAAAGCACAAGCCAACGCCCTCCGCTGCAAGACCAACGAGGCGATAGCAGCGGACGAGCTCGGCATGCGGGGCCCCTTTGCCCCCCTTAGCGAAGGCCAGCTCTACTAGCTAATAGAGCCCCCGTTCGACCTTTAGGGTCGGACGGAGGGGGCGGGAGGGAGTAAGGGAATGAGGTAGTTAGGTAGACCGAGTGTTATGTCTGGGTTTGCATGTGTTTGCATCTTCCCATGTATCTCCCATCAATCAATACGAGGACCATTCGAGAGAGAGTGAGGAATCCGACACGCCCCTCCACCGATGGGTCCGCCAGGCCAAGGCCTCCAAGGGAGACCGGGAGAGATGCTTGTGCCCAGGTACGTGCAATCTCTGCTTCACCCCTTGGCTGGCGTAATCCACAGGCCGCTAGCAAGGTGTCAAGCAACCGCTTTCCCCAGTCCGACCACTCCTCTATTGGCAGGGCTGACAGTGGAGTTGTGCGGGCCACGTAGCAGACGCGGCGCGAAATGCAGCGGGTAAGCAGGAGGGAGGCTAGCTGCGGGTCCATTTGAGCTATCAGGCGGAGCGGGCTACCCATTGCGTCGAGGCTGTTGCGAAGGAAGGAGGCCGTGGCGTCAGTACCAACAATGAAGCTGCCCAGCACCTTCACACCACCGTCACTGAAGGGCACGCCGCGGGGTAGTGGCGCCGGCTGCTGCCCCGTGTGAGACCATGCCGCGCATTTGGAGGGATTGTGGCCCAGCCCGATCCCAGTGAGGTTGGTGGTGAAGTCATTGAACGCGGCCGTACATTCCGCCGCCTCCCCCAGGAAGGTCACATCGTCCGCGTAAGCAAGGCAAACTACGGACGGGTACGCCAGGGCTGTTTGTTTGAGCGCTGGATGCATGGCTGCAGCAAAAAGGAGAGGTCCGAGGGGGTCCCCCTGCCTCACCCCGGTTTCACTCGAGAGAGGTGCGTGTGAGAAGCCGGCGTCGAGGCACAGCGCAGATGGATAGCCGTAGGTAAACTTCACCAGGGGCAGTAGGGGGGCTAGCGGGGAGCCAATGAGGGATGCTACGATTGCCGCCCGGTCCACGCTATTGAACGCGTTTGCTATGTCTGCTTGCAGGACCAGAGCGTTCGGATTAACGGTGAGGTAAGTGCGGGAGATGTGAATGATTGCCTCCGCTCCGCCCGGGACTGCTACTCCAAACTGGTAGGGAAGAAAGAATTTCCGCGCGTCATTGGCTGTCAGGGCAAGGGCCGTCTTAGCGGCGAGGCGTAAGAGGCACTCGCCAACAGCGATTGGCCGCGTCCCCCCGTCTGGTTCGGTAAGTGCTAGTAAGCGGGAAGCAGTGAGGAGTTCTCCTACGGCGGGCGGTAATTTCCCCGTTAGGATGGTGTTCACGAGTGCATGCAGGTGCTTTCCCACCGAGGCGTTGATCAGCACTGAGTCCCGTAAGTGTTCGAACGTTGTCCCAGAGGGGCCTGCCCCAACAGCCATCTCACAGCGTCCCAACACCTTGGAGAAAATTTCGAAGGGTGCGGTCAGTGGTGGGTCTGGTGCTGGGTATGTCCAGTTCGGTTGAGAGGAGGGAGCTCGCGGGTGCTTGGCGCGCAGTGCCTCTAGCACGGCTGGAGATGGAGTGCAGACCGGAGTGGCTTCGAGAGCCAATACCGCACGCCGCAGGCTGCCACGTCTCGCTAGCCCCTCAGCACGAGCGATGACGCCGACGTCATCAGGCTGGTGTTTGGGTGGCTGTGGCCACGACACGGAGGCCACGGTGTCCTGGT